CATAACATTGTTAAGAATCCCAACTGGCCGGAGGCAAACCAGTTGGCTATTTACAAGCATGGCCGACGATTTGAACTTGGGGCTACCGAGAAACAAATCCAGGTAGCGGTCAGAGCGGGACTCGAACCTGGCACCGCTGGATTACGAGTCCGACACGCTGACCACTCGGCCACGCTGCCTCCTGTTATTAATCAAAGGCCCTTTCAGTTAAATAACTAAATGACAGAGTTCCCTACCCTTTCATATAACTCAACTTGTGAAATCCCTACCCTCTTATATATATACGGCCTGAAAGGGTAGCCCTTTCGAGTGGAATCTCCACATATAGGCCATAATAGGAAGTAAACACCCCGGATACCTTCCAAATCAAGCACAATACTCATTTTCTCTTGATGAAATCGATCCCACACCAAACCGATAAGAAATCTTTCAAATCGAGTACATTAAATCGATTTATATCTTCCATTAACTTGACTAGATGCCTTTCAAATCGAACACATTACTCAAATCAACTGTACATACTCAAGATGCCTTGCTGGTATTCTGTATCCAAAACGGTTGGTCCTGTTGATGTGATTTATTTATTTATTTATGCCGCATAGTGCTGTGCGGGTCATCCTCAGCAAGCTAGCTCCTCATTTAAAAGGCTCGTTTGAGTAGAGAGATGATGCAGGATGAAAGTAAAATAGAGGCGGCATTCGGGATGACAAACATTTTAATGGCGTGATGCGGGAAAATATTTCGGCGGGAGTTTTAAAACTGACGGAGGATGCGGGATAAAAACAGAGACTGCAGAAAATCGCAGGGTACTCTACGAACGTTACACAGAGAACTGCGACTATCGGGATATTCCAGTTGCTGACCAAGAGATCGAGGGCTCTGAGAGCTTGAAATAAGTAAGAGCTGGACGTTGGGCCGGACAGCCAGCTTCGTACTCGGCAAGTAGTTTCTCAGGGCCATTGCGGGTCCTAAGATGGCGTGACCATTGAGAAATAAATGTATAATATTTTTTTCAGTTAACACTTGAAGACTACACTTATTTCTTTATTGGTCGACACAACTCGCTCTCTATATTTTCGTAAATTGTTCATTAAATCTTTCCGCAATAATGTCTTAGCACTGCAAAATATATATCATGTTTCATTGTACATATTATATATGGTTTATTATTGTTTCAAATCCTCAAATTTTCGAGTAACTCTGGCCTTTTATCATGCGATGCGTGACGTGAAACGGCAAAGTCACGCCGCTCATGAGTAACGATGTCACGTTCTTCATTGCATCGATGCATGCTTCAAAAGGAGACAGGCACACGTACCATCCAGCACAAAAGAATCCTATTGGCCAAGCAATAAGTATAAGGACAAAGAACCAGATGATTGCCCACAGCACTCCCTTTGCACTCATTGTTAACTGTAGACCAGGCCAGACGGCTACTTCCTAGCTATTTGCGACACTACTGGATCCAGGAACGTTGATCGATTTGTTTCCTGAATGACCTATATGGAAATAAAATTCAAATACTCATGCTAGGGTTTCCACCAATAAGACGGATGAACATTATTTCATTGCTTTATCCTGATAGCAACGAAGGTACTGGGTACTTGAATTGTGTTGCAGGCGTATAGGGGTGAGGGAGAGGGGGAGGGGAGGAGAGCATATTTCTGCCTCTCTCTCTCCTTCCATTTCTTGCTCTCTCTCTCCTCCCGTCCTTTTCTCTATTTCGCCTTTCCTCAAAAATTTGATCCAAATCAGGTTGTCCAAAGCATCTGTGTTTTTAAGCGTAAAAAGACCGTTCTGAGAAAATGGAGAGGTAGTAAAACAAAATTTAATTGCGCATATGCCAATCAGGAGCGTGTTGCAACACGCATACATTGTAATTTTTCTCCAGACTATCGTTTCGTATCAACGCGATCGGGGAGAAATTCTTCTCTTTATTTTACCATGTCTCTGAACAGTTCTAAGTCGCGTTTGTAACGAACATCTAGATGTTGAACTGTACCGGCCTTCAAACGGTCTTGAATCCTTTCAGGTCTTGAATCCTTTCAGGTCTTGCAATGATCAGCTGAGAACTCGGCCCGTGATACACATTGAGCCCTACTGCCTCGACATTGTAAAACAAGGGAAGTGAAATGAAAATAGTTAATACGAAATACTAACCTTTCCCTTCAGTTGACAAGATATAATAGGAGACCCCTCGAGCACGTATAATACTTAGTATTCAACCTCCAGGACTAGCGTGATTGTGCCCTCTATGGCACGACTGTTCCTACTGTAGTTTTGTCAGCCGCTAGTCACGAGTTGCTCTTGCTGTCATCGCTGTTTAATTTCATTTAAACGTCACGCAACGCTCAAAGGTCACACATTTGGCTATTTATACCTAGTGAGAAGCTGGTAAAAGGGAACTTCATTTTCGAGACTTACTTGATACGTAACCATATAAATAAAACTGTATAACAATATTTATCTAGGAGTTGCAATAAATGGCTCAATTTCGTGAATTTTTCTACACAGACGCTCTCTTGGGCCAGAGGAACGAGAGTAAGGTGCTAAGACACTCCCGTGCGGCAAAATATTCGAGAAAAATCTGTGACATTTGTGTGGCATGTACGTGACAGCGAGGAAGACGGAATAAAAATCAATTTTGAAAACACATTGTTTTTGATGTGGCAGGTAAAATTAACTTAATAAAACGACAAGACTAAAGCTTATTTCTAACAGGGCAATGAATGACTGACGCCTTGTGAAAATGAAAATGAATTACCATATTCGTAAGAAATTGAGGATCGAAACCCTGAGTAAACATGTAACAAACAAAAGGCGCGTGTCCGCGTGGATTTTTTCTTCAGGAAAAGCTGCATCATCCGCCAGTCACGGGTTTTTGGTTCCAACATAACATGAAGGCACCTGCAGATTTCTTCGGGAAAGATAATCACTTGAGCTTGGCAGAAAAGTCGACTACCATGAATGCGTACACACCAACATCCATTGATAGAAGCTGTAATTAAACCATACGCCTTCCATTTAACAGTTTCAGCTTTCGGATTAAACGGAGTCTAGATAATCTAACCAACAATAAACTTAAGAAACATCTAAATATGTGAATAATTATTACAAACGCGCGTATCAACAGTCATTGTCGAGATAAGCTTACATTATTATTAGAAATAAATGGATTCGAATGTTCCGATTCAAATCAATACAGCCTGATCAACTGCTAAAATTAAAGTTTCGTTCTCTCTTCACATTGTACGACTCTCTCAGTCCATGAGTAAAATATTCCTGTCTGTCACAGGGCATCATTCTTTATCCAAAGGCATTCAGTTACCATCCCTGTTTTCCGTCCACCATGTGTTGAGCGACCTCGAGCGGTAATTTTACGCCACGCATCAGTAGCTCTGTTACGGTCTTCATGGCATCAACACAAGCTTCAAATGGCGATAAACAAACGTACCATCCAGCGCAGAAGAAACCCACGGGCCAGGCAAGAAACCACAGGCAAAGAAACCAGATGATCGCCCACAAAACGTTCATTGTTCCCTATATACCACGGGCACGAGAAAATATAAACATTACTAAATATTGACAATAATTCGCGTTATATAAACAAACGCAAAGCAAGCTTTAATCCGATATATTTAAACTTTAATCCGATAGATTTAAACTGTGATTAATGTACAGTACTTACCGATGCCAAGTACTTCAGCTATCGACGTAAAATTCGCCCGTCAGTACAGTGACCAACTCCTTTTAACGTACTTCACATATAGCCCGTGAATAGATATTGTGAGGGGGTGGGGCTGGGCAATTTTTCAACTTTTTCATATCTCTTTCCAGCGTAAATCTTGCAAGAAATTTTCTTTATCTGGTTATTCCCAGCATTAATTTCTTTTGCATGGTTCGCTAGACACGATTCTTTGTCACTATTGTCACTGCGTATCAATTTTTTGGTAAATACTCAGCCCCGCATAAAAATACACAAGTCCATTCCTAACAGGGGAGAGCTGAGGGTACATTTTGTAACTCCCGTGCATAGCTCGGAGCCGGGTAACCAAACGCCCTTGGTTACCTTCGCTGTCGCGGATAATTTTCGAGTGCGCGCCATTTCTTCCATTTGCAGCACCAAAGATCGGGTTGATTGCTTCTTTACTAATTTTAAAAAGAAAGATGACTTTTAAAAATCGATCACAGTTCATGTAGTTTACTTCTCCCGCTTTTCGCCCGAAAATATCGCATCCCCTGGGTATCCGAGGTCCCGGGGGGGGTACTGCCATATATGGGCTATATAGGTATGTGCCGCTGTGAAGGGTATGGTTTTCAAGCAGTTTACTCTGGCACAGGGTATATAAATCAGAGCATTTGGTCTAGAATAAATAGGGTATCATTTTTCACGAAACTGACCAGTTGGTTGAAGATTTTATCTAGACTAAGGAAACCAGTAATTGCCACTCAAAAATAGAAAAAAAAAAATGAAATCGGCAAGTTTAAATTTTTGCAACTCATCCTCAACAGCGTCGATAGATGATTATCATAAAACACTACTGGATATTATTAACTGTCAAAAATCGGGATTCAGACGGAAATCGGTGGTTTTAATACTGGTCACTCTAGTATAGAGTAGTAAAATTCATCTGAACTACCTCTGGTATAGGCTAAGGGTTCCAGGGTCCAGGGATCCGAGGATAGTCATAGCTAGAGCGTTAATAAAAATAAATCAGAATATCATAGGGTAGACTACGAGTAGTCCCTCTTTCGCTTAGTCCGTCGTGCGTGACGCGAAAGAAAACGCGAGAAAACCGCGAGAAAACAGTGGCCGTGCGAAATCGCGCACGACGGACCAAGCGAAAGAGGGACTACTCGTAGTCTGATCATAGGGGTGTCACAGGAACTTTTGCTGTGCTGTAAATTATATACCTGCTTTGTAACAAGATAGTACCACATCCTCACCGCATACTGATTACCTCATCGCATAAGATTAAGTTATGGGAAGAGTCCGCGACTGATGAGACAATAGGCATGTAACGAGGATATGAGCAGATAGCTGGAGCTTGGTTAACCGCCACCAAGGAGGTAGGCGGGTCGCAAAAGACGACTGTCTTTGTGGAGTACAGGACAAAAAGACCACGCTTTAAGCGGGGAGACCAAATTTAAACTCCAAATGGCGCAAAGCATTACCGACGCTACCAGCACGGGCGAAAACGGGGGAATGTGATGGACAGTAACAGCATGTTTTGCAATGAGCTAATTTATTATGCAGTGAGAATATTCTATTATTACACTGCTACTACATCAACCATACGTGAAAGGTGGCGTTTGAGAGCATAGCTTTCAATGATCAGAGTCACTATTCGAATTAACCACAGATCTGTAACTAAACGACAAAGAGTAGTGTTATCTTTCCAGCGACTACAGCTGTTTCTTATCGACTCTTGCCCCGGTCTCCCCCCCCCTCCGAACCTACTTTAAAACCTCTATGTTGCTTCGTTCTTGCTTCTGCACCTCTGTTTTCCTTAGGGCTAAGGGCTATTGTTTTTGTTCTTTATCTATTGTTTCATTTGCCAAAATATAAAGAGCCATGTAGAATTTGCAGGTCGACCTGCTTAGGGCGTTCCGCAAGGGTAGATCTAGTTTAGACTTCAATAATGGCTGGGCTTGCATTAGTTAACAGCACTTTAGAAGTCAAGCTGACAATCAACAAAAATGTGGCTCCTGTACGTACCTTCGGTTCCTTTAATTTTTCGACGAGCATAGCCGATCATAACCCTTTCAAACGTTTAGTTAGTTGGGGTGCAGTTCGAAAAATGGCGCGTTCGCTCCTCTCAGTAAAAACTCTCTCCCTTTTTCGCTCCGCCGTTTTTTAGCGCTGCGCCCCAACTAACTGAACGTCTGGAATGGGTTAACCCGATCATGTCCGTCAACCCCGGAATAATACGAGCCACATCACATAACACGAATAAGACCTGGTAGCGAGTGGTTTCAAAATGAGGGGGACGGCGTTCAAATTTCTAAATAGCACTCCTAAAAAGTTTTAGAATCTCATTTGTAGCCGTTGCACTCTCAGAGTGTATTTTTACTTTTATTACAAGCGTTCACGCTTTCAGGAAGTCGTGCCAGCCACGCAAGCTAAGAACGATACCCTGCTAAGACACTCCCCACAACATCGACTTCAGACTCCGCACTTGTTCCTCGCGTTTTACGCCCTCCATTTCACATTGCACCTACTAACAAGGTAGCGAGCCACTAGAGGCCTTCTGGAGTAAAAACGCCAGGTGCGTGAGAACTTAGGATAGCATCAACACGTCTTGACACTCAAATTACAACTGGGGCTTTTGCGGTAATACCCACCCAGGCGAAGCGCGGCTCTGCTTCAGAACTAGGCAAGTGGTCCCTCCCTTACTTTTAGTTGCTCCGTGTTAACGCTCCAAGTTTTCATCCACCTCTCTTGCTGCCGGAGAAGTGATTACTTCTCAAGATGGCAACAATTTATAGCTAGGCTCCTTTGTTCTCTAAAAGTACGAGAGCTGGCAGGAAAAGCCGCAAGCAAAGCCTCCCACGGGGATACATGTTCCCCTGACCCCGAGAAATTTCGCCTTTTCTCCCTTGTTCCCTGTTAATAAATTGGTTGCTCTCTAAAATGTTTCGTCAGACTGATCCACACAATCTCTCTTATCCCCATGAAATAAACGATCATGCTCTCCAAAATCCCCAAGAGACACTCTTTAAGGTACTCTAAGTACCTTAATTGGCGATAGCCAATTAACAAAACACTTTACACCAGCTTGTCATTCAAAGCCTTTTAATATAATAAGACTGATAAGAATTCAAATTACGCTCGGCATAAAAGTACTTGAAACTACTATTAAGAAGTTAAAAACTTAGAATGTCACGAAAAAAAATTATAATGTATAAAATCAGACCACAACTCAGTGGCTTGCACTGTAAGGTTGTTTGCTTTAAATAGGAAAACAGCAGCTAAAACTTTGGCAATGAAGCAATACAAAACTGATCAAGTAATTGACAATTATTTTCCTGTTAATCTTATAACGGCACTAATAATTATTACTAATTCTAAGTTCGCTAACGAATTAGATCCTAATTAATTCAAATTATCATTCATCATGCTAATTCATTTACAATCAATGCAAATGTTATTTTTATAACGCAACTCTTCTATTACAATCAGAATCTACGATTTATTCCTCTATAAATCACACAAACTATTAATAACCAAAGGTGCACTGAAAGTAGATTTGACCAATTTAATCTACTTTTATGCTACAATAGCTGCATCTTTCAATACATTTCGATAGTGGGAGAAACTTCCTTTCCCAATTGCGTGGATCACAATCCCACTAAGGGGGGAGAACTGTGGTACATTTTGCAACCATACTCCAGATATACAGACTGACAGTAATCAACTACACAGACCAACAAAAAAAATAAAACAAGCATATATTTGACCTTAATTCACCAATCACAATTCATGAGCAAGACCTTTTGAACGAGTGATCACCACTACTTGAAATACACATGTTTGTTATTCCACTGATAAAGTAAACTTCTGTTTGCTGGAGATACCCACGGTAAAATAACTGGGAAAAACCTAAAACAAAATTTTGAGAGATTGCCGTTTCTGAAAGGCGCGGTAAGCAGAAGGTTGGAATTGATTCAAAAACTTCACATCTACTTATTACTACACACCTAAATCTTTGTTTTCTTGTTTAGCTTTATCATAACATTATAGACAACAATGTATTCAATGTGGAAATTAGGATAATTTTTGTAGTAAATAAAATTCTAGCTCAGCAGGCTAGTGTTTGGGAATCACATGAGCGAAGGTGAAACCCTAGCTTCCCACTGGCAGGCATTGCCACCGATTTATTCACTTGTGTGTGTTGTGAAACAAACATGAAATATTTTAGTTTTCCTTCACCATACCATCTTAAAAATCAAGATATTTTCAGGACAAGATGGAAAAAGATGCCTGTTCTTATTCCTTTTATCAATTTCTTTTGAACAACAAATAATATTACAAAAAGGAATGTTTACATACTTATTTGGACCCAACATATTATTTCATTATGGCTAAATGAGCACTGGTCTAGTTCCTATTTTACAGTGCACCTTTGCATTAAGTAAAGTACAGTAATCAATCTCCATCAAGTGAGGCATATTTTTTTTAACACGATACACTGCTCTAAATACTCAGTCACACATCTTCCACTTTGCACAAAATTCATGTATGTTACTTCATAGTTACCACATTTCACAACTCCCAGAGTTAAGATCTAGAAATACAAGAAGAAAATTCTGTTAATCAAATTAAATGAAAGTAAGATTATGGAATGACATGAATGATCATTGCAATACACAACTTCAGCAGTTGTGAAATTAACGCCTGAAAAAACAATCGGGCTTGAACGGGATTTGAACCCACGACCTCTGCAGAACCGGTGCAGTGCTCTACCAACTGAGATGTCAAGCCACCTGGGAGCTGGTCACGTTGTGAGTTCGTAATATACCTGTAGATGGCAAAGAATACAAGTGAATGATTTTACAACAGCTCGTATATTTGAATTTTGTCAGGCTTTAATTTCACAGCTGCGTAAGTTGTGTATATACCTGCGTGATCATTCATGTCTTCATATCTTTCTCTGCAGCTCAAATATATGATCGTTCATATATTCACTAGCAAGCTATTATCATTAGATATTAGAAAACAGTCCTAAGAAAATATGCGTGCTGATTGGTTACAAATTGTGTTTCTATAACTCGATGGAAACACAGAACTAGCACGAGCTGTTGATGTAATGATAGCGTGGGCAAAGAGAATTTACACTTTGATAATCAAAGTTAACAAGCTGTTTTCCTTTTTTTCATCCTGGTGTTTTCTAAAAGAAATAGAAAACATGTTCTTCGTGTTTCTATTGAGTTATAGAAACACTCGTGAAAGTTTTGGGAGAACTCGAAAAAGCTGTGGAAACACTCGCCTGGGGCTTATGTTCCCACAGCATTTCTCGTTCTCCCAAACTTCCACTTGTGTTTCTATAACTCGATAGAATCACGGAACGTGTTTTCTATTTCTTAAATAAAGTGATGAGAGGAGCTCTGATTGGTTCCCTAACAGGGGTGCAAATTTTGTCATACGGACCTCTCACGAATTAATTTCAGCAAATTGCTCTTTCAATGCCTTGCACAAAATAACAGCCTAAACACAACACCACTTACCTCTTTTTTTAATAATAACAGTAATAAAATGGACCTGTTTGTAGATTTGGCCAGTTGTACTGCTGTGCCTGGTACAACACAAAGACAATGTTAAGCTGTTAAATTTCGATTAAATTTCAATTTCAAGCTCAAGCAGGGGTTTCATTAACATTTTCAGCAGGAGGGAAAAATGTTTTGAACTGAACGTCTTTTTAGAAAACCTTTCCTCTAGATGGTCAAACCAGGCGGGCAAAATTGTCTTCACAGTCAGTCAATTTGCCCAGTGCCCAGCCCTTATCGAAACCCCTGGCTCAAGTATGGTACATGTTTTCTATTTCTTAAGTGGAAACCAATTGATATTGCCAGGTGACATGATTAAGGGTCCAATGGGTTGATGTAAACTACATGAAAATAAGCTGGTCTGGCACAGCATTCAGAGACATTCATTAGACAATGAAAAAATGTCTTAACTAGTTCAACAAAGATAATGGATGCCAAAATTAACTGACTTGCATCAATCTAGACGGGAATGTAGTTGGCTTAATGAGGTCATTTTGCATGGGCCTTGCTAGCTGTGCCCTTCCTTATTATGACCTCAAAAGGAATCTTTTTCCATTGAGTTTTCCTGGTCAATGACGTTTCAAATGGCCCATGCCCAACTCTTTGTGAACCCATTTTGGCAGACCAAAATCCTAGCATAATGACTCAAAAGGATGTTGGCATTTTCAGATATTGACACTTGAAGCAAAAACATGAAAACAATGTACATACCATAAAATTATGATAGTTGACTGTGGGCTGCTGAATGTAGCACACCTACATAGAAAAAACACTAGAACATTGAATTGAAAGTTCTGTACCTTCGCTCCAAATAGTTGCACCTGAAACAGTTAGTGCCAGCTAATGTAGAAGGTCCTGAATATGAAAGTGACAAACCCTTATTGAATTGCTTCAATACTGCACTAAGGAAGCACTCAGCTCATATATGTGACACGCCTAGGGGTATGCTTGTCAAAAATATCCCTTCAGGTGGTTCACAATCTACAGTTTATTTGTTTTCACAAATTCAAGGTAGCTCTGAACCCTTTCCACAATTTTTGAACATTTAAAGAAAGCTGCACCTTAACAAGCCAATCATCATTCAATAATAAAATACAGGGTCACTGAGGTTAATCCTGCAAAATATCCCAAAATCAGGCATCAGCCAGATTTGCAGAGTTTCCAGAATTTTTCACCACAGTTTGAATGCCATCTTATATTTCTGGTTGAGTTGCCTTGATAGGCCAACTTCTGCAATGAGCAAACTGCAGAAAGATAGTTTTAAACTTATATACTTATATGTCCTGAAATTGCACATTCCATGGTCTGTTTTTTAACACATTGTCAGCTTACCAATAATATTATAAACTGTCGAAACAAAGCTACCTAAATTGTTTAATTAGTAATTTGCACTTACTTGATTGTTGGTGTATGGTGCAGGTGCTGGCTCCACCACAGGAACCAACACGATTTGTCCACCTACAACTAAGGACAAAAGACACATACTGGCGTATGTAAATAGTGTGAGGTCTTCACTGGTAGGGGTTTCATAAAGGGCTGCGCACCAGGTAAATTGACTGGCTCTGGGGATGATTTTGCCCGCCTGGTTTGACCATCTAGAAGGTTTCCTTATTAAGAAGTTAAATTCAAAAGGTTTTGTCTGCCTGCAACCATTTACACTCCTGCTGAAAACATTAATGGGACCTCTGCTGAGGTATCAATTAACCATCCTAGGACAGGCACTTTCTTAAGATCCTTTTTTACTTGGAAGGGTGGGAGGGTTCAATTATAAGTAGAGGATTAATTTTTTGTTGAGGGGTGGGAGAGGGTATGGGAAAATGGTAAGGAGAATTTTTGGGCTTACAAATATTCTGGGACAAACTAAAATTTTACATCATTTACACCTCCCTGTCAATCTTTCCTTGAGCTCAATTAACCCAAGCGTTTCCTGAAGGACTTTCATCAGGTGGGCAATTGGTTTTCACAAGCAGGCAGAACTCTTTGCAATGAACTTTGTCACAAGCAAAACTTTCTTCCTTCTGGTCAAACCAGATGGACAAAATCCTCCTCACAGCTGGTCAATACCTGTTATTGCAGTTGAGTTTGCGGTCAAATATTGCTTAGTTTTAAAAGGCATGCAAACGAGGTTAAAGAGTCAATATAATGCAGAATTGACCCTTTCACCTTGATTGTGTGTCAAGCTGCTGATAACTGCAATAATGTTATAACAGTTATTTGGCCACTAAAGACCACTTGTGTCGCATCAACTGACAGAATTCCTGCACAATTATTGGTCAAGACCTAATATGTAAGCTGTACTGCAATGCAAGGCAATTTCTGGAAAGCCACTTTTGACTGCAAGAAAATGTCATGTAAGAAAATGAACTTCAGAGAACTGTCAAATGTAAATTGTCAAGTTTAAAAAAAAAAATTAAAATGAAAGAAAATTTAAAAAGGGACATGATAGCCACTGGGTGCCACACCCCACACTAAGACTTTAAAGGAAAATGGTACATGATTTGTGCCCACTGAATTGCAAATTTAGGGACTCAAGCTGGTGTCCTCTTAATAGAGGGTGTCTGCTTAGTATGGGGTTCGCTTAATACAGCTTTCACTGTAATCCTAATTTTGACAGCATTTTGCCAAACTCCTTAGTATAAAATTTTAGGTCTGTTTGACACCAACCTCCATTGTGAGCATTACTGCTGTTGATGCTGCTACCGTTTGCCACAAAAAACTGCCCACCCATCTGAAGAAATAATAAAACCAGTCCACAAATAAAGTCACACAATTAAGAACTATCATGTCGAGAATGTTACTAGAATTAGCGCAAAACCTCTCAAGATTCAAAAGTGCACAGAAAAAATGTTCCTGTTTGGCTGTATGATTTGAAATCTGCGTTCCATACCTCCTTTTTAACTGCCTTTCTTAGGCGGAGCTTTCTCCCTCCCTTGTAATCCACTGTTCCCTGTAATAAATGAGACAATGTTTTATTAAAACTTAGTACATGTAAGTACTAACTAGTAGCAGAAGAAGCCAGAGGAGAGTTACTGGAAAAAAGACATGATGAATGTTTGTTATTGTAACAAGGAAGCCTAATATGATACATAGACATTCCCCCTTAGGGTAATCTTTTTAAATTACTTACACATTACTAGTCACTGACAGAAGTGGAGGAAAATATCTACACTTTTAACTGACACTGGGGTGAATAATCAATTGTTCTAGTATACCAAACCAGTGAAATTGTACAGTTTTATTTTAGGAGAAACTGACAATACCGTCAATTCATTTCCAAACTGACTTTTTGTGACCTTCAGTTCACAAAAAGAACATGAGAATGTATAATTATTTTGGAGCAAATTATGAAAAAATCAACTCTGCCTGTCATCAAATACCGTCACCTTTTTTAGAAGGTCATCACGAGCTTGCATTGTTGTGAATGTCACAAAACCATAGCTGAAAAAGAACCACGCCCCGAACAATCAAATAAAAGAATTCAAAAACATAGAAAGCCTACGTACACCTACTGTAAACCTGGCAACTCTCATGCACTACAGTAGTGTAGCAGTTCTCGTAAGCTTGTAATATTATTCTATTTGTTGTCATTGCAGCAGCTGTTATTGTTTTGGGGCTAGGGGGCATTGTTTCTGTTGTTTGTTCTATTGTCGTCTCAAAGGGTGTGAAGCCATTCATGTGAGACCTCATGAGAGCTGCAACATGAACCCACTCGAAGTCTCGAAATAGCAAAGCATAGCAAATCCGCATGGGCTGTGATGTTCTTGCAATGGAGACCACCTTGGAAACAGAAAACTGCTCGACCAAAAACCACCTGGTGCTAAACTGTCACAGCTGAGCTCAGTGAGGTAAAACTCACATGGAGCAAGGCAGAACATGCTGCACAAAATAGAGACAAACGGAGAGGGAATGTTGTTGCTTTGTGTCCCACAGGAGCCAAAGAGTATGAAGTAATTGTTGTCAAGAGAAAATGTTCAGGCATACATTTTGAGGAGATTGCCAGAACGATTTTAAGTGAAATTAAGAACAGTGGTTGATAGAGACCTGGATTGAAAAACACTCAAGTGTTCCCCCCCCAAAACTTTTGGCCCTAAGGTACACTTCCAGGGGGGAGGGGTACTCCATATGGTGGCCTATTCACAAGTTGATGTATATGAAAAGGTAGGGAAATCTGTCATTTAGTTATTTTAAAAGGCCTTTAATTAAAATACTTCAGACAGATGCACCTTACGGCTATATCATTTCATTTACTGGGCATTACATGAAAATGACCAGAAGACTTGCTTTTTCGTTGATTTATTCATAATACAGGCCAGTTATGAAAGTATGTGAAAGAGGTACCTTATTTCAATTAAAGATATACGAAAGAGGTATCTTTTCTGGGGGTATAATTGATGGTAGGACACATAATTATATAGTTTGCTTTTATTTATTGCCGTTTGCTTACGGTTAGCATTTATATACTGAGTTTGCCTGCGGTTATCATTATTATTGACTGGTTTGCTTGTGGTTAGCATTTAAGGGGTGAAGGGAAAGGTGACTAAATGTGTCCTAACAGGAATTATATGCCCTTTTCTGTTAAAATGGTATACAAAAGGGTAAGGGGTTGGACCTTGGGGAGGAGGCTACCCGTATAGAACTTTGTAGAGTACCCCCTCCCCCCACTAGGCTGCACTCACATCCTCTCTGAGTTTGATCTCCAGTAAATCCACTACTAGAAAAATTCTACACAATACGTGGTGATAAAGAGAAAGTCCGCTCTCTGACACGATTGAAATAAAATTATCAGGAAAAGGACAGTTTCAGCAACTTGACACATTGTACGGTGATAAACTCCTGTGGTTGTTTTTCTGACTGAAAGATTATCCCTTGTACAACACAAGCCGAGCAAACATTGCATGTGGGCTCTAATTTTCAGGGCCTCTTCATATGAGCCCGGTAAACATAAACATAAACTTGTATCGTTCGCGGCTGTCGCAGCTTTGTAGACTCTTTTAACTTTACTAATAAAGCTGATTCGCCTACTCCTAAAGTGGAAATACATACAAGGCAAAAATTATGCCATTTTGGCCGCTATGTTACGAAAGCGAAGCTATTTCGTCTAAAAAGTTTCGTCCCGGTTACCCGGGCTGGAGCGTTCATATGGTAAAATTTTCATCCCGGTTGCCGAGATCTCGGCAACCGGGCCAGCCTGGCTTCTCATATGAACACATCGAAATTTTTACGAAGGAAAGAGTGGCGAGGCGAGATCTCGGAGACCGAGCCAGCCCGGTTGACCGGGCTCGTATGAAGGGCCCAATCAGTTAGGTGAAGCCTAATTTTCAGTAGCAAAAATAATTTGCAACCAAATGACAAAAAAACTCACAGACTGAAAAACTTATAAGGAAGGCTGACTTTCAAACTGTGTTCTTTTAATAAATCAATGATGAGTACTGATCGGTATAAATAACAGCATCTCAACTATTTAATTGGATCGACGGCTTCAATAGCCCTTATCGCATCTGAGCATGTCATCTTTTTCGATGACCTCACCGAAAGTTATTGTAAAACTCCAAAATCTGTTACTCAAACGTTGAATAAAAATCTACCAGATCTTCTTACAAAGATCTCGTGCGAGGTAATTGCACTAAATTGATTCACAAAAAGGTGCAAACAATTGTGAAACGTAGAAGCCATTAGCGCCTTGGAGACTTCGCACCTCGAAACTACAGGCACAACTATTTGGGTGCAGAAATTACATTAGATAAGCTCCCTCGCTGTGTGGTCGTCTCAATTTTGTCGGTCTCCGAGATTTCAAAATAAAATCTGAAACAAGTTTCCTCGACAAAGAGATTCAAAAGTAATAAACCTACCCTTTATTGAAGCCGGTTTTGCGATCGCAGACGATTCTTACGTCTNGGCTTATGTTCCCACAGCATTTCTCGTTCTCCCAAACTTCCACTTGTGTTTCTATAACTCGATAGAATCACGGAACGTGTTTTCTATTTCTTAAATAAAGTGATGAGAGGAGCTCTGATTGGTTCCCTAACAGGGGTGCAAATTTTGTCATACGGACCTCTCACGAATTAATTTCAGCAAATTGCTCTTTCAACGCCTTGCACAAAATAACAGCCTAAACACAACACCACTTACCTCTTTTTTTAATAATAACAGTAATAAAATGGACCTGTTTGTAGATTTGGCCAGTTGTACTGCTGTGCCTGGTACAACACAAAGACAATGTTAAGCTGTTAAATTTCGATTAAATTTCAATTTCAAGCTCAAGCAGGGGTTTCATTAACATTTTCAGCAGGAGGGAAAAATGTTTTGAACTGAACGTCTTTTTAGAAAACCTTTCCCCTAGATGGTCAAACCAGGCGGGCAAAATTGTCTTCACAGTCAGTCAATTTGCCCAGTGCCCAGCCCTTATCGAAACCCCTGGCTCAAGTATGGTACATGTTTTCTATTTCTTAAGTGGAAACCAATTGATATTGCCAGGTGACATGATTAAGGGTCCAATGGGTTGATGTAAACTACATGAAAATAAGCTGGTCTGGCACAGCATTCAGAGACATTCATTAGACAATGAAAAAATGTCTTAACTAGTTCAACAAAGATAATGGATGCCAAAATTAACTGACTTGCATCAATCTAGACGGGAATGTAGTTGGCTTAATGAGGTCATTTTGCATGGGCCTTGCTAGCTGTGCCCTTCCTTATTATGACCTCAAAAGGAATCTTTTTCCATTGAGTTTTCCTGGTCAATGACGTTTCAAATGGCCCATGCCCAACTCTTTGCGAACCCATTTTGGCAGACCAAAATCCTAGCATAATGACTCAAAAGGATGTTGGCATTTTCAGATATTGACACTTGAAGCAAAAACATGAAAACAATGTACATACCATAAAATTATGATAGTTGACTGTGGGCTGCTGAATGTAGCACACCTACATAGAAAAAACACTAGAACATTGAATTGAAAGTTCTGTACCTTCGCTCCAAATAGTTGCACCTGAAACAGTTAGTGCCAGCTAATGTAGAAGGTCCTGAATATGAAAGTGACAAACCCTTATTGAATTGCTTCAATACTGCACTAAGGAAGCACTCAGCTCATATATGTGACACGCCTAGGGGTATGCTTGTCAAAAATATCCCTTCAGGTGGTTCACAATCTACAGTTTATTTGTTTTCACAAATTCAAGGTAGCTCTGAACCCTTTCCACAATTTTTGAACATTTAAAGAAAGCTGCACCTTAACAAGCCAATCATCATTCAATAATAAAATACAGGGTCACTGAGGTTAATCCTGCAAAATATCCCAAAATCAGGCATCAGCCAGATTTGCAGAGTTTCCAGAATTTTTCACCACAGTTTGAATGCCATCTTATATTTCTGGTTGAGTTGCCTTGATAGGCCAACTTCTGCAATGAGCAAACTGCAGAAAGATAGTTTTAAACTTATATACTTATATGTCCTGAAATTGCACATTCCATGGTCTGTTTTTTAACACATTGTCAGCTTACCAATAATATTATAAACTGTCGAAACAAAGCTACCTAAATTGTTTAATTAGTAATTTGCACTTACTTGATTGTTGGTGTATGGTGCAGGTGCTGGCTCCACCACAGGAACCAACACGATTTGTCCACCTACAACTAAGGACAAAAGACACATACTGGCGTATGTAAATAGTGTGAGGTCTTCACTGGTAGGGGTTTCATAAAGGGCTGCGCACCAGGTAAATTGACTGGCTCTGGGGATGATTTTGCCCGCCTGGTTTGACCATCTAGAAGGTTTCCTTATTAAGAAGTTAAATTCAAAAGGTTTTGTCTGCCTGCAACCATTTACACTCCTGCTGAAAACATTAATGGGACCTCTGCTGAGGTACCAATTAACCATCCTAGGACAGGCACTTTCTTAAGATCCTTTTTTACTTGGAAGGGTGGGAGGGTTCAATTATAAGTAGAGGATTAATTTTTTGTTGAGGGGTGGGAGAGGGTATGGGAAAATGGTAAGGAGAATTTTTGGGCTTACAAATATTCTGGGACAAACTAAAATTTTACATCATTTACACCTCCCTGTCAATCTTTCCTTGAGCTCAATTAACCCAAGCGTTTCCTGAAGGACTTTCATCAGGTGGGCAATTGGTTTTCACAAGCAGGCAGAACTCTTTGCAATGAACTTTGTCACAAGCAAAACTTTCTTCCTTCTGGTCAAACCAGATGGACAAAATCCTCCTCACAGCTGGTCAATACCTGTTATTGCAGTTGAGTTTGCGGTCAAATATTGCTTAGTTTTAAAAGGCATGCAAACGAGGTTAAAGAGTCAATATAATGCAGAATTGACCCTTTCACCTTGATTGTGTGTCAAGCTGCTGATAACTGCAATAATGTTATAACAGTTATTTGGCCACTAAAGACCACTTGTGTCGCATCAACTGACAGAATTCCTGCACAATTATTGGTCAAGACCTAATATGTAAGCTGTACTGCAATGCAAGGCAATTTCTGGAAAGCCACTTTTGACTGCAAGAAAATGTCATGTAAGAAAATGAACTTCAGAGAACTGTCAAATGTAAATTGTCAAGTTTAAAAAAAAAAATTAAAATGAAAGAAAATTTAAAAAGGGACATGATAGCCACTGGGTGCCACACCCCACACTAAGACTTTAAAGGAAAATGGTACATGATTTGTGCCCACTGAATTGCAAATTTAGGGACTCAAGCTGGTGTCCTCTTAATAGAGGGTGTCTGCTTAGTATGGGGTTCGCTTAATACAGCTTTCACTGTAATCCTAATTTTGACAGCATTTTGCCAAACTCCTTAGTATAAAATTTTAGGTCTGTTTGACACCAACCTCCATTGTGAGCATTACTGCTGTTGATGCTGCTACCGTTTGCCACAAAAAACTGCCCACCCATCTGAAGAAATAATAAAACCAGTCCACAAATAAAGTCACACAATTAAGAACTATCATGTCGAGAATGTTACTAGAATTAGCGCAAAACCTCTCAAGATTCAAAAGTGCACAGAAAAAATGTTCCTGTTTGGCTGTATGATTTGAAATCTGCGTTCCATACCTCCTTTTTAACTGCCTTTCTTAGGCGGAGCTTTCTCCCTCCCTTGTAATCCACTGTTCCCTGTAATAAATGAGACAATGTTTTATTAAAACTTAGTACATGTAAGTACTAACTAGTAGCAGAAGAAGCCAGAGGAGAGTTACTGGAAAAAAGACATGATGAATGTTTGTTATTGTAACAAGGAAGCCTAATATGATACATAGACATTCCCCCTTAGGGTAATCTTTTTAAATTACTTACACATTACTAGTCACTGACAGAAGTGGAGGAAAATATCTACACTTTTAACTGACACTGGGGTGAATAATCAATTGTTCTAGTATACCAAACCAGTGAAATTGTACAGTTTTATTTTAGGAGAAACTGACAATACCGTCAATTCATTTCCAAACTGACTTTTTGTGACCTTCAGTTCACAAAAAGAACATGAGAATGTATAATTATTTTGGAGCAAATTATGAAAAAATCAACTCTGCCTGTCATCAAATACCGTCACCTTTTTTAGAAGGTCATCACGAGCTTGCATTGTTGTGAATGTCACAAAACCATAGCTGAAAAAGAACCACGCCCCGAACAATCAAATAAAAGAATTCAAAAACATAGAAAGCCTACGTACACCTACTGTAAACCTGGCAACTCTCATGCACTACAGTAGTGTAGCAGTTCTCGTAAGCTTGTAATATTATTCTATTTGTTGTCATTGCAGCAGCTGTTATTGTTTTGGGGCTAGGGGGCATTGTTTCTGTTGTTTGTTCTATTGTCGTCTCAAAGGGTGTGAAGCCATTCATGTGAGACCTCATGAGAGCTGCAACATGAACCCACTCGAAGTCTCGAAATAGCAAAGCATAGCAAATCCGCATGGGCTGTGATGTTCTTGCAATGGAGACCACCTTGGAAACAGAAAACTGCTCGACCAAAAACCACCTGGTGCTAAACTGTCACAGCTGAGCTCAGTGAGGTAAAACTCACATGGAGCAAGGCAGAACATGCTGCACAAAATAGAGACAAACGGAGAGGGAATGTTGTTGCTTTGTGTCCCACAGGAGCCAAAGAGTATGAAGTAATTGTTGTCAAGAGAAAATGTTCAGGCATACATTTTGAGGAGATTGCCTAAAGTTCAATTGTACTTGTGTAACTTACATCCCGAGCCAAGCCCCCGATGAAAACTCTGTTGACGATTTCTTGTCCATCAGGAATAGATACCTGGGAAAGAAAGGTAGAAAGAAACACGCTCGCCTCACGAAGTTTATGTGAGGTTGGTACAAGGTTGCATGAAAACGATCAACTACATGTAATTAATTAATTTTACTTCATGAATCAGAACTCTGCCGGAGCGTTAAGCTTAGCTTGCATAAGCATGAGTTCTTCTATTAGAACCACACACATAAGTTGAGACAAAAAAATTGAGAGTTCCTTTAAAAGCAACGTTTCCATTATTTCCAGATTAACCAAACTGGAGTAGTCGCGAAAAGCTTCTTAAATAAGTATCAACTGCCTCCAAGCACAAGTGATTAGTTTCTTTGCTAATCCAAACAAGCACATGTAGTTCAGATGTCAACGGTTTGGCGGTGCTAACGAGATTCGCCGCCGCGATGAGGGTACTTTTTATATCGTTAAAGCGCTGAAATCAATCCTAAGATATTTATCACTAAGAGCTATATGCTAACTCGAACCGGAGCCGCTAATAACAAACAAAATATAACTTACCGATGTACTCGAGGTCATTTCTATTCTACAATTCTCACAGGCAATGACCAGTTCCTTTGAAATCGCGGCGCGCAAGTTGTGTAACAGCATCCGAAGAAAGCGACTCCGTCCTTCAACACCGCGCGCGCTGATTGGCTAGATCGGCGACAAGATTGTCAATTTCACACAACTTGACGCTTCAGTTTCCATCTTCCGTTGAATTTTGCCGAAAAAAATCGAATTAACTAGACAAGTCTCGATCCAGACGGTGAATTTGAGAGAAAACTACAATGGGCCGTCCCAAGGGCGGTCTGTTTTATAAACAGGGATATCGAAGATATTCAACGCCAGCACTCCACATGGCTGATATGGGAGGGGCAGATTACATGTCAATTGCAAGGAAAAATGGTTCAAGTCAGTCACTCTACCAAGATCAGAAAATGCCAATCAAACGAAATTAAAGGTAGAGATAGTAATCTACTTAAAATACCATCGATCAAAGCAAAAACGGAATGTTTATTGACAAAACAGCTTAAGCGAGATCGGAACGTCTAGGTGACCCTGCCAAAACTGCAGGTGTGTTGGATCGTAAAAATTAGCCGTAAAAATGCAGTGCTTTCCTTTATTCCTGCTTTTGCTTCCCAGAAAAAAAATCTTCAGAAAAAAACAACAACATTCATTCAGCGACTGTTTTCCTGGCAGATTCCATGAATGCTTACGCTTATCTTTTGCCAGTTTTACCGACGAAAAAAATTGCCCGGTACGAAGTGACCTCAAAGACAGCCGAATGAAGTAGTTTTTAAAATATGGCTTGTCAAACGACCTACTCCTTCAAACATTTTTTACGTGTAAATGCAACGGCTATGAACACCAGGTTTTCTGGTCTGTTGACTTTCATGCGTCGCAAATGGTGTTCAGGAGTGTCTCTTACAGTGACATGCACTAGCCCAAAATGACCAATTTTAATGATTTGGTAAAATTTGCAGCTTCTTGCACATATTATAGCAATCAAAACAGACGTCCTTTCTTTCATTGTCCAGATTTAAAATGGCTTTTGGCGCGAACCACATAAACTTACATGCAGTAGTATATGGGTTGGCTAAATATACTCTTGCCTTGGAAGTAACACTTTTTTTGTTAAATGGAAGAGACTACTATCTATTTGCCAAAGGAGAATTTTAAAATAGCCTTTAAGAAACATTTATTCTTCCCTGGAGTGAAATCATATTCGCTGATGAACAGGGTGGCACTGTATCAGGGCGGCAACTGGTTAGCCTAGCTATATACAGGATACAGCGGACGAAAAGCACTTGCAGACAGGAGCACAATAAGGTGGTTTTTAAAAAACTTCTTTATTTGGAAAGTTCTTTTCTATCTACAAGTTGTTTTCTACCAAAATTCAAATAATGTTTTAAGCAGTTGTGTAGGTCACTCTCGAAAATGCTGGGAGGATCGGATCCCTGACCAGGCGGAATTTCATTCGTCGCTGGAAGCCGTTTTACGGTATTTTTGAACAAGATATGACGGAAATTTAACCTGTATCACCAAAAAAATACCTTGAGCTGTTGAAACCATGGACTGCTGTAGCTTCATAGAAAGAAATGCCGTACGTACACCAAATCCAACTAAATCAAAACTATAAATCAGAGCAAAACGTCATTTGAAAACAGAATGTATCCTGAACTGACTGCACGTATTGCCGAAAACCATGAGCCGTATAAATTGGGAATATCTCCGATTTCACTCCAGCCGTAAAAGGTTTCCCATCTTCCTCGTTTTTAATCCTGCTCGCATTTTTTTTTCTTATTTACAAATATTCTATGAAAATGTTTCTTTTCCCTTCTTTTCACTGCACCAGCTTTAAACTTATTGGCGAGGAGACTGGCTTTCTCGCCTTTCATCAAGAGCTCGCCTTCTGTGCGGAGTTTTCTCCTTTTCTTCCTCCACTCTTTTTTTTCAAAATCGTCTGTTCGTATAAATTAATAAATCGTATAGGAAAACCTGTGATTTTTCAAGAAGGTATTCCGATCTTTGACAGCGTGTGACGCTCCTGGGCGTTCAGCGCTTGAAAATAGCTTGGATAACACTCCTGCTGGGCGAAGGTTTGAAGAAACTTGATCAAATGATTCTGAACAAAGAGAAAAAAGAAATAAGTGTACTCGTATGTACCCTGCAATTACATGCATGATGTCAAAAGTAAATTTACAAGGACAGAACTTTACGCAATGAAAAGTACTTTCTTCAACCAATCATTGCTTTTATATGACAGAACGTACCCAAACCATCTTACTATGAACCATGCGTTTTATATCTTATTCCATTTCAAAAAAGCCTTTTGTGATCTTTTGTTCCTTTTCCTTTCGTTTTCACTTTCAAATGGGTTCATGTCGTTTTTCGAACACTGTTATACAGATGCGACCACACTTGATGATTTTCATAATCAGTGGTTAGTTCTGAGCTTCGTGAAATCTGTCGTTCAAAAACAGAACCAAAATAGACGTATCTTTTTTCTACGTCAACTGGATTCCGTTTTTGACCCCAAAACGCGCACACATGTACACGCTTAATTGGTAATGGCGGTTTGTTTGTATTTTACAACTTGTCACCTATTTAAGTGCACAATCTTTGTCATCGTTTAACTGGCTTCCATTAAAGAGCTCACTCGGTATGCGGAAAAAATTTAAAAAGCGATTAATTATCGTAAAAAAATAGGCCTAGCATGCTTGTAATACAAGCACATTATTTAGTCATCTATCTATTAAGAGCCACATGTTTTTCACCTTTTAAAAAGAGTTTCACTCAGTATCAAAACAGAAAGAGCGATTAATTACCATAAGTCTAGCATTACAAGGACATTGTTTAAAAGGGCGGTTTACCTGTATTTAAAAAGTTGTCATCTAAGTGCCGCATCTTTTTCACCGTTTAAAAGAAGCTCACTCAGTAAACAGAAGGATTTAAAGAATGCTTAATTACTTGCAAGTCTAGCATTACAGGCACGTTGTTTAGAATGGCGGTTTACTTGCATTCAAAGTTGACTTCTATTTAAGTGCCATATCTTTTTCACCGTTTAAGAAGAGGCTTGTACGGGTCCGCAAATGATCCCGG